TTTCCTCGCTTATCTGCATACACAGCCAGATCAGTATCACCTCTGGTTACCAACAAACAAGACCATTTTCCTCCTCTCACCCGTAACAACTCATTGCTACAAAGAAATCCTATACCGGAATACAGACCCCATGACAAATGGTGACACTAATAAAAAAAAAAAAAGCTATCAACTCGGGCCCAGTGACAGACTGGGCATTAGGGACCAAATTATCATTTTTATATGGTCCCATTAGGGAATACATTCCTGCTTTACCTTATTAATTGCATAAAGTCTCAATTATTAGAAAAACGTGTTTTGATTATTGTCCACAAATCGGTTCAGACCAGTAGAACTAAAATCCTCAGAAACAGCAAGAGGTATGCTGTTCTCACTTGGGACCCTGTTAACAGGCTTACCACCTCCTCTCTTCTAGGCTTAGGTAACAGACTTCCTGCTAAGCAGCTGCGTGCCTCTGCTGTTAGGCTGAGGGAAAAAAAAAAAGTTACAGCTATCCTGTCAGTAATTCCAAATGGCAGACTCGTGGCATCTGCTCAAGTCTGCTGTATCAAGGCTGCCTTCTTTGCAATCATGTGCATAAGTTATTGCTGAATTTCATGCCCTAACTGCTCCAGCCACCAAATTACTGCACAGCGGGGATGAACGCCCCAGTCTGCCTGAACAGCATACGTTTACAGAAAGCTGCATACTGTAGTATAAGTGAGCTACACCGATTCCCAACACAGGCTGATCATCTTTGTGACAAAAACCAATGTCGGGAGCTTCTGCACTATTATAGCTATTCTATCTATTCCTCTTATAGCACTCTTGGAAAGGTATTTCAAAGTTGGCTCCACTCGCAAGACTCAAAAGGCCCTCCAGCATGTCAGCCTGCTGTTAGAAACTGAAAATCTGCAGGTTTTCCCCAGAATATCAGACATGCTCTCTAAATAGCTAGGTCTTTTTTTTTTTTTTTAATTCCTCACATATTTAACCAGTACATATTATGAAATTATATTAAGAATATTTACATTAATTTTAAATATCGTTGTTGTGAATAACTACAGAAAACCTCTATCCTGAACAGCCTTCTATCAAACCACACAGTATTTGTGATTGAAATAACTGAAGTAAAGCCAGAAGACTGAAATTTTGAAGGACTTGATCACCTAGATGCAATTTTCCCAGAGTCTATTCTCTCAGGAGACATGCACTTAATTGAAGAAAACAAAATTTCAAATAAAACCTGAGAACTTACTACTTTGTCAAGTAAAACAAAACAAACAAAAAAACCCCCACAAACAAAAAAACCCCACCACCACACAAAAAAAAACCCCAAACCAAAAAAACCCAAGAAAACTGTGCCAGGGAGAAGGCTGTAAGAGATCTGAGAATAAACAAACTTGCCTCATCTTCCAGTCCTGGAAGAAGCTTGAGTGTTATTATAATTTGGGATCCACTATAATACTTCTCAAGCAGATGTTTTGTAACCGTCAGAAGAGAAAGCTGCCACAATGCAGCGGCATTATGTCCTTTCCCTCACCCTTTCTTCCAAGCAATTGAATACTTGTTAAACAGGAAAATAAAAACCCAACTCTGTACCAGATTTTGAAAGAACCATCTTTTGCAAACATCAGATCAAGAGATGGTTTCACAACTTTTAAAGGGATCTTTCTTCTGTTAAGTAATAGGAAAGCAAACATTCCTTTGCAGTTTGTTTTACCCAACAACACAAGATGGAGAAAAAGAAAATGAAAGTGACCAAATGAGAAGCAGCCAGACTGCATTCTTCAAGCTAAAAAGATAATTACATGGCTGGATCTCCAAAGTTAGTGGCTGTAATGACTCAATCTGTACTTGGGAACATAAAATAGTTTAAAAGCAGGACTTGGCCGATCCTTAGATGTCAACTACAAGCAATAAAGCTGACAAGACTCTGCAACTCAGTTTAATTCTCTGTACAGCAGGGTTGGGAGAACTCACACTAAGACAGACAACAGGACTACAGCCACCCAAGATATTTTACTAATGCAAGGAAGGATGGAACATACATTAATACTGAAGTCTGTAATTAGAAAGCAACATTGACCAACGATGAATGAGAATAATCTGACTAATGAATAACTCTAAGCAAGAGTACAGCTTGCAAGACATGAGAGTCATCCCTCAGATGCAGCAATGCTTCAGAGACAGAAGAAAAAAAAGCAATTACATAGTGAGCACAGGCATACTACCTACTTGTAGAGCGGCTACTTCTGGAGTACTTTTTATGACTTCTTATCATAAATCAAGCCTAAAGATCGATTGTACTTGTAGCTAGCTTATTAATCCCAAGATCATTTGTGACTGCAATAAAATAGACTCCTACCCAAATAACAGACCAATACTGCATATTTCTCCTCAACGCCATATAGTTTAAGTTGGAAATGGTTTTGATTTCAATTAAAAACATTCATACATACCATAGTGCAAAAGACTGGTTTGTATTTCTAATGGTGGAAATCCTCTCGATGGACTTCACCCTACTCTATCAGTTACATTATTCCACAGCCACAAGGCTGTGCCAGAGGCTTTTTCCTCATGGTCTAAAGCAGACTGGCTTCTCTAACGATAATGCACAGCATCAAATCAGAACAGTAACAGGACGACTGACTTGGCAGTTTAATAACAAAGTTTTTTGTGCGCCATTAATAGCTTTTTATGTTTATCAATGCCCTTTCAACAACTTTTCTGCTCAGTGTTGTATTCAGAGTGTAGCTGTGTGTTGCATTCTTCGTAACACAGGTTTCTAGGCCAAGGAAGTAAATTAGAACTATGTTTAAGTTCTTGAGAAGTCAAAGAGGATTATGAGCTCTTTCTCTAGGAGAAGCAGCCAATGTAACCTTCCAGAACATGAACTCTGACCTTTCAGGTTCCCATGAGTATTTCTAATATTACACTTTGCACCCAGCCTCCGTGTCCTTTCTCTTGAAGTACCAGACTATCAATTCCTTAACTAGTCAAAAGACTAGCAATCTGAAATTTTGCTCTCCTATCCTGACACTTTGACTCTTCCTCTAAAGACAATTAGGAGAAAACATAGTGATACCGCAAAGACGACTATGGCACACCATTACTAGATACAGTTACTTGTCCTTGGGATTCACTGATTAAGAGTATTTCAGAAGTGCTGAGAAGAGTCCTACAGTTTAAGCAGTGCAGTATTATGCCTCATAGTAATCAACACGTCATAGTTCTCCTCACAACTTTTTCTTTTTTTTCACAGCCTAAAACAAAACCTGAGGATCCAAGAGTAAACAAGGTTTTTGTGGAGGGTATTTTGCTTTAGGAAAGAGTCTACAATGTACAGAGCACTGGGTACCTCCAGCAGAGCAAGTCTGATGACTTAAGAAAACTGTTCAAGAGAGGTCAGTTAAAAACACCTTACAAAAGATAACTCACTTTCCCAAATTTGGCTAAAGTTAGATTGCAAATGATTGTTTCAAAGGTGTCTCCTAGAACATCCCAGAATAACTTCCAGAAAAAAAGAGGAAAAAAACCCAACAAAAAAACCACCCCCCAAAAAAAACCCTAAGAATAGCAGCAAGAGTCTACCAATCTTAAGTCATTGCAAAGACCACTTCTATAGCAAAATGTTTTTGAGATTTACTGGGTTTAGGGCCAGAAGGCCTGTATAAACACACTGCCTGCCTTTTACCAAGCAACGCGTAACATTTTTCCTGTCTTCTGGTTGAGCTAAAGCATAAGCATTTTAATGTAATTACTCAGGTGGCAGGACCTACCACATCCTCTGAACAGCTCAGTGGTTACTTTCCCTCACTGTTTAAAACATGCAACTTCTAGATCAATAGCTCTAGCTGGTACAGGTTTTTCAGCCTTAACTAGTGGCATTTCAGCAGGCACCTGTTTTTACATAGCAACACAAAGTACTTCTTATTTGAATCCACCTTTGAAGGCAGGTACTGACTCTCAAACACCAATTCTAACAAAACCAAAAGACATCTGGGGGACAGCCTCTGACGCTATGACTATCAAATTCATCACACTGAAACCTGGTATCATTTCAGTTATTCTAGCAAGTCTGTTTCCTACACATTCACAAGGGGAATGATTTTGCATTTGAGTCAGAGCTGGCCAGGCACACCAGTGTTTGAACTGCACCAGCAGCAATCTGGCTGCCCTCACCCATTAGTTAATATCCTGGGATGAGAAGGACCGAGAAGTGCAAAGGGACTACGGCTGACTTACAGCACTGATGTGGAAATAGACTGCCTCCTTCCCTTTTTTTATGGCTGCTGATCTCCAAGGGGGAAGTTGTTCTTTTGTTGCAACTCCAGCTAACAGCTGACCACTTTTTCTGGTTTTCACCACTTCATCAGATTAACACTGAATCAAATCTATTAATATCCCTGTTCTTCTGCAGGAAAATGACTTTTAAAGTAAGAGATCTTTTAAAGCCATAGGATACTGATGTTTTCAGCCAATACTGACAATCACCCTGCCTGGTTTTGCACAGTCTGAATGTTGGGAATGGGGACACAAACCACAGCAGCAGAAGCCCTTCCACAGAACTGCCAGATAACCAGAAGTGACTGTGGTCAAAGATTACAGAAAGTTTCACAATAAAATCATGCTACTCACTATCACCAGTCATAAACACATCAGAAAGGACTTCCTGTCATCCTCTCCCCCAAGAACTGACCCTTTACATCTGTTGCTGAAGTGCCTTTTCATTAAAAATACCACTTACAGATCTTCCTCCATCATAAAGAACAGATTCATGCTTATATATAAAGTCTATTGTATTAATTACAGTGGTTGTCACGAGCCCATTAGGACAAGCGCATTCTACATAAATTAAAGTACTCCACTGCTAAATTTTAGTGCTTTTTCAATTCATTCAATTCTAATACACACACGCAAAGAAAAACTACTGAAAACCAAGGAACTATATGGATGCTTGTAATTTAAAAAATAAACCCCAAGACTTAGTTTGTTTCTCAATTAGAGAGCTATTTTACCTGCAAGCAGGACAGCCACCAACTACTACTACAGAAGTGGTGGTAGCAGGCTGTTGAATAATGGTGTACGTGCTCGAATAGTTTGGCTGTGATGTCGGTGGAGGAACAGCATACCCTAAAATAAGAAAAAAAACCTCAATCACCTACATGTATGGCACAAAGAACAATGATGATAATTTAAAAGTATGGAAACAGAACATGGAAAAAACCAAACAGAAATGTAGTCTTGACTGAGCACTTTAAGAAGCTCTATCAAAATCAGAGTTGGAACATGCTACTCAGCACATCTAATAGCAAAGCCACTTCATAAACCCAAGTATCTAGCACAATTTAACCATCTAAAAAGGATACTGACCTAATAATTAACTTTGAGAATTTGTTTCAATGCTGTTTGAGCAACAGGGAAAAACAGTTAAACAATGACCACAGCGTTCACTGCTGGATGTTACGTATCAGGTATGTCCCACTCCAGCAGACAAACTAGTTGCAACAGAATAAATCTTCTGGTTTCCAGCCCAGCTTAACTTCCACATACTAAGTTTATAACTGGAGAGAGAGGTAGGAGTGATAAGATGCAAGTGGAAAGGAAGCAGGTTCCATAGCACAGGGGAAAAAAAAAAAACAACCCTCAGAACAAAAAAAAAAACCCACAAACTTCCAGAAAACACACGTTGGTAGATAGTGAATGTGTCGTTTTAACAGTTGTAGTTAGAAAACACAAGTCTTTAACTACTGCATTAACATTTAAAAAAAAAAAAAGAAAGCTTTTTAAAGGGATGGTTAGATGTATACAGTGTGATCATACAGTCAAGGTACACTTTGCCCAGGTATAACCTAATTTGAGCTTCTCTCCCTGGGCACAGTTCTCAGATTTTCTTGAATCAAGTTATGCAACTGTAAAATGCACCAACCTCACTACTTAAACTGAAAATAATCAGTAATATTTGTACTGTAGGCAAATAAGCTCCAAGTTATTAGCAGAAAAACAAGCTATGGCCTCAAGATTCAACCCAGTGCTTGATGACTGGGGTCTGTGTCTGCTGTGTATATTTTTTGTAATTTTTAAGCTTTCCCTTAACTCTACAGTCTTTCCCGAGAGGCTACTTCTTTCTTTGACGGAGGTTAGTATTAATTCAGTTAACAAAAGTACTGTATCTACTCACCTGCTTAAGTCTCTCCAAGACTACTGAAGTGTATCAGAAAAAACAAACATTAACCAGAGTACAGTGAAGCGCATGCAAAGAACAGTGCAAGTTTGAGGTCTATTTTACTGCTAGCGCAGCTGTGCCTCTTTGCCATTGTTTTGGGGCAGAAACCCCGCACATCTGAGGAATGCCTGCGAACTCAGTCGGTGTTTTGGGGAGGGCAAAACACAAAACACGACGTTACACCTCAGAGGCACCCAGGGAAGGAGGGGAAAGGGAGGCGGCGCTTGGAACACCTGGATCCCCTGCGCACCCTCCTCCCTGCGCTGGTTTTCGGCGTGAAAACCGAGACGATCCAACCGCCTCGCTCCTGACGGGGAAGCCCCACGCGAGGGAGGCTCAAGAGTTTCCCCCGCTCTCCCCGGGCAGCCCCTCCGCGACGCAGGCCACGGCCCTTCTCCAGAGCCCGCGGCCGGCCTGCGGCCCCCGGGGCACCGCCAGCGCCGCCCCCGCTCCCGTCCCCGGGGGTGGGGGGGGGAGGGGGGGGGGGGGGCGGTTGGGGGAACCTCTCCAGAGCCGCCCCCCGTCCCAGGGCTGGGGAGCGCGGGGCTCCCTCAGGCGCTCTCCTCCACACGCCGGGGAGCCCTCGCC